GTCATTGGAATCTGGATTGGGATTGCATTATATGTGTAAATTGCTTTGGGCAGTATTGACATTTTCACAATGTTAAGTCTTCCTATCCAGAAGCATGGTACATTCTTCCACTTTTGTAAGTCTCTTTTGGTTTCTTGTAGTAGTGTTTTGTAGTTTTCTTTGTATAGGTCCTTTGTTTCTTTGGTTACATTTATTCCTAGATAGTTCATCCTTTGGGTGACTACTATAATTGGTGTTGCTTTCCTAATGTCCTTTTCAGCGCTGTCGTTATTGGTATAGAGGAATCCAACTGATTTTTGTATGTTGATCTTTTATTCGGCCACTTTGCTGAAACTCTTCCAATGAGGTCTAGTAGCTTTTTTACTGAGTCTTTGGCTTTTTCTATGTATAGGATCATATCATCTGCAGATAGAGAGAATTTTACTTTCTCTTTGCCAATTTCGTTGCCTTTAATTTCCCTGTCTTGCCATATAGCTCTTGCTAAGACTTCCAGCATAATAATTAAATAGAAATGGTGACAAAGGGCATCCTTGTCTGGTTCCTGTTCACAGAGGGAAGGCTTTCAGTTTCTCTCCATTGAGAGTAATGTAGGCTCTTGGTTTTGTATATATGCTCTTAATTATGTTGAGGAATTTCCCTTCAATTCCTACTTTGCTGAGTGTTTTCATCAGGAATGGATGTTGGATTTTGTCAAATGCCTTTTCTGCATCAATCGATATGATCATGTTCTTTTCTTTTTTCTTATTTATATGGTGGATTATCTTGATTGTGTTTCTAATGTTGAACATCCTTGCATCCCTGGTATGAATCCCACTTGATCATGATGTATTATTTTTTTGATGTGCTGCTGGATTCTGTTGGCTAGGATTTTGTTGAGAATTTTTGCATCTATGTTCATGAGGGATATTGGTCTATAATTTTCTTAGTGACATCCTCCCCTGGTTTGGGTATGAGCGTTATGCTTGCTTCATAAAATATATTAGGAAGTTTTCCATCCTCCTCTATCTTCTGGAATAATTTGAGTCGAATTGGTGACAGCTCTTCCCTGAATGTTTGGTAGAACTCACCAGTGAAGCTATCTGGGCCTGGACTTCTTTTGGTTGGGAGTTTTTTGATGACCTGATTAATTTCTTCTTTTGTTATAGGTCTGTTCTGGTTTTCTACTTCACTCTGTATAAGTTTAGGTAGGTTGTGTTTTTAGAAAATGTATCCATCTCTTTTTTTTTAAACAAGCTTTGGCCAGTTTTATTAAAGAAAAGAAAATGCACGATTTATTTTTCACCAGTTTGTTCTGGCATGCGTCTAATGATATCAGAATCACCTGTATCAATGATAGCCAGTGTGCACACTCTGTAGTATTTCCCGCATGCTGTGCCCAGTTCAATATTATTGCCACTGTAGTGATGGACACCAGTTTTGGCCAACATGGCATAGTACTCGATCTCAGATTTCCTCAAGGCCGGGCAGTTGTTGGCCAGGATGACCAGCTTCGCTTTGCCTTGCCGGATCATCTTCAGAGTCTGCTTGTAACCCAGCACGTATTTCCCGCTTTTCATAACAAGTTGGAGCCGCGAGTTGATCGACTCCAGCAACTTTTTCGTCTTCTTTGCGGCCACCAACTTCCCGCCTTAGGTGTGGGACGGCCCCCAACCAAGAGCAGCTGCCAATATGGCCGGGGAGGGAGAAAGGCTGTATCCATCTCTTTTAAGTTTTCAAATTTGTTGGAGTATAACTTTTCTTAGTATTTTGTTATCCTTTTGATTTCCTTTGGTTCCGTTGTGACATGCCCGTGTGGTTTCTAATGCGCGTTATTTGTGTCTTCTCCGTCTTTTCTTTTGTTAGGTTTGCCAATGGTCTGTCAATTTTGTTAATCCTTTCAGAGAACCAGCTTCTTGTCCTGTTGATTCTTTCTATAGTTTTTCTGTTTTCTATCTCATTTATTTTTGCTTTAATCTTCATTATTTCTTTTCTTTTGGTGGCTGTATGTTCCCTCTGTTGGTCTGTTTCTTGTTGTTGTAGATGCTGTGTTAATGTATTAATTTTCGTTCTTTCTTCTTTTTGGATGTGTGCGTTTATTGCAATAAATTGTCCTCTCAGCACCGCTTTTGCAGTGTCCCAAAGATTTTGGTATGTTGTGTTTTCATTCTCGTTTATTTCTAGGAACTTGGTGAGTTTATGTCTTACCAGTCGCTTTTCATCAGGGTGTTAATTCAGTTTCCATGTATTTATTTCCTTGGTCTTCCTGTTGTTGATTTCTAATTTGATAGCATTGTACTGAGACTAACTGACTCTTACAGGGTGAGTAGTAGTTAGTTGCGGGGTGGAGACTGGGGGAAGGGGGGCATTCCAGGCAGGGGAGATGGCATCAGCAGTACTTAATGTACACTTGTCGCTGCTGCTGCTAAGTATTGTCAAGTCAGTTCTGACTTATAACAACCCTGTATTGGGTTTCCACGGAGCAGTTGGTGGGTTTGAACCAACAGCCTTGCAGTTAGCAGTCCAGTGCTTATCCTACAGTGTCATACTAGGTCTACATGGGATAAGATTGGTGGTTGTGTGCCATCAAGTCATAGAGACCCTGTATGATTCGGAGGCTCTACATCTTTACAGGAGCAGAAAGCCTCATCTGTCTCCCTTAGAGCAACTGGTAGATTCAAATTGTTGACCTTACGGTTAGCAGCCAAACTCATAATTCATGATAGTACCAGGACTCCTTGGGGAAGAAGATTGTTGTTGTTAAGTGCTGTGGAGTCGATTCTGACCCATAGCGACCCTGTATAGGGTTTCTGAGGAGCAGCTGATTAGCTTGAAATGCTGATCTTGCAGTTCAAACGACTTTGCAGTGTGGCGCATTAATCCACACTGCCACACCAGAGCTCCAGGGGATAAGAGTAGAGTGCTAAAAATAGATAATGCTTGCATTGTCTCAGGCACTGTTCTAATTCCTTTACTCAACTCCTTTAGTCTGGATGACAGCTCCATACGAGGTACTGCTATCCTGGTTTTACGATGAGGAAATCGAGGCTCAGGTTACAGTGACTTGCTCAAGTTCACCATGCCAGGGCCTGGTAGCATTTTGTGGAGGGTCCTGTAGGCCATGACAAGAGCGTGGTCTCCATCCTGACGGCCAGGTGTTCTAGAATGTTGTTTCTTTATATACTTCTTGGGGGTCACAGAGCCATTTGATCTAGTAAAAACTATAGGATTCACCCCCTAGAAAAATGGAACTATGAACATCTCATATACAATTTCAGGGGCTTATGGGTCTCCTAGAGACCTCTAGATTCCAGAAGACAGACTTACAGTATGAGGCATGGGGTCCTCGGCTGTAGTGTGACTTGGTCAGATTTGCATTTAGAAAGAAACCTTTGGCCCCTAGGAGGAGTGGAGATGGAGGAGTAAAGATAGGGCCCGAGACCTGTATAAGGTTGTAACAACAGGTCAGGGAATAAAAAATACGGTCCCAGAGGAGGATGGCAGCTGCAGTGGACTTTCTCTGACCCTCATTTCCCTCATCCATAAAGTGGGAGGGTTGTGAGGATTTTTTTGATGTACTGCATAGAAAGTGCTACCACATAGTAAGCACCAAATAATTGTCAGTTTTTGTGGCTGGCTTTGTACTTTGTGCAGCTAGTATTTGACCCCAGGTCCACCATCTGAAACAAATGGGACCAAATTAAACCCAGTGCCATTCAGTCAGGTAACTCGTAGTAACCCCGTAGGACAGGCTCAAGCTGCGTCATAGGATTTCTGAAACTTTAAATCTTTACAGGGCAGACAGCCTCATCTTTCTTCCATGGAGCACTGGTGGGTTTGAAGTCCAATGCTTAACCCACTGTACCACAGGGTCCCCTTCCTAAAACCAAACACCTCACTTAATCATTCGAGATAGTGAGGTAGGCAGTCTTCTCCTACCATCGTCCTTGCCTTCTGGCTTCCTCTCTCCTTCTTAAACAGAGCCCATGAAGCGGGGTGGGGTGCTGGGTGCTGGAGTCCTGACAGGATCTTCCTTCTCTCCAGATCACTGAGACCCAGAGGCTGGGCCTGGCCAGAGCCTTAGAGCTCAACACCACCTTCCTGAGGAAGTCCCTGCAGGCCGCTCTAAGGCACCTGACCTGACCATCCATCCACCAAGGGACCGTGCTCATGAAACTACCTCAACAGATTCCTGAAGGACACCTCTGTGCTGATGAACTTGCCTTGACCCCTCGCTGAGGATAAAGGCTGAGCCTGACCATTCCAGGGCCCACCTGCCTCTTTTCCCAGGCTCCAGAGCAGATGGAAGTGTTGGCTTTCCAGCTGACAGAGCTGCCTCAGACACAAGGGGCTGGATGAGCTGTCATTTTCAAGTGCTGCTGACCCTGGGCAGTCCTCATCATCTACCTCAAACCCCAGGGACAGAAATTCTGCTAGGCCCCTATAAGGTCAAAACAAATCCAGAATATGAGGGGACGTCAGAAAGTTCATGGGAAAATTGAGTTAAAAAATAATGGCGTTTTCCACAAACTTTTATAGTCCCTGTCAAAGATGTGTGATGCCCCAGAAACCCTGTGGAACCTGTGTGCTCAACACAAAGCTCTTGTGCTTAGATCTATGTTTTTATATCTGACTTGATAATTTATCTAATAAAAATCAACTTCAATAATGTCTTATTAGAAGCAGTATTTGACTTCCCATTAACTTGGTGTTTGTTGATACCACCTCAACCTCTATTCTGTGAAGAGGCATTTTTTCCTGGTGAATATGTTCAAGGGGGAAGGTAGTAGAGAGTTAGTTCTGAACAAAGATGTTGAGTAGTTCTGTGCGTCAGATAATCTCCAGTACTACCCACCCCAGCCTTCTCAGAACTGCTTACTGGGTAGGCAAGGCTTACAAGTGAGGGGACTGGGGATGAGGGGTGACAGGCTTTCGGGCAGGTGACATTGGTGATCTGAAGGACTTCTGAAATTACTGTGGGCTGAGGAGAAGATAGGGCCTGCCAGACCAGAAAGAGCAGAGAAGACTCTGTGTGTAGTAGTGTAGACATACCTGTTTTACATCTTTATATGCTCAGAGCAGCTAATCTGGGTACTTGTTCCTAGTAAATGCTTGATAATCCCAAACTGAACCCACTGCTGCACAGCTGATTCCCACTCAGTGACCTATGTAGGGATTCTGAGACTAAATATTTTTATGGGAGCAGTAAGTCTTACCTTTTATAGCAGAGTGATGGGTAGGTTTGAACCACTGATTTTGCAGGTAGCAGCTTAACGGGTAACCCCATTACACCACTTTAAACACTTGATTGTTGTTGTTAAGTGCCTCGAGTCAATTCCGACCCATAGCGACCCTGTATAGGGTTTTCAAGGAGCAGCTAGTGAGCTTGAGCCACTGACCTTGCAGTTCAAATGGCTTTAACACTTAATTGTTGTTATGTGACAAGGAGTGGTTTCTGACTCATAGCGAACCTGTACAGTGTTTCCGAGGCTGTAAATCCGTACGGGAGCAGAAAGCCTCATCTTTCTCCTGCGGAACTGCTTGTAGTTTCGAACTGCTGACCTCACTGTTCACAGCCCGATTTGTAACCACTACGCTACACTACGCTACCAGAGCTCCTTAATAGGTATATGTTACTGAGTCAACTATTAAAAGTTTATTATATAGCACCATTCCCCTACAGATGTTGAAGGGCCAGGAACAGAACGTTCTTAACCAAAACCTCTTTGGAAGCCATGAGCAAGATGATGAGGGAGGTTGGTCAGGCCTATGAATAAAGCTGCTCTTTGAGAACCGTAGTTGGGATGGAGAATGGGAGGACGTGGACAGAGGAGGTTAGAGGGGCAAACTAACCAGAATTAAAATGTTTTCAGCGACTGTAATGTCCGGTAACCTTAACCCCTTGCCTTCGATTCGGACTCACCCTATTGAGCAGAGTAGAACTGCTTCACAGGGTTTCTGAGATTGAATCTTAATGGCATGCAGTCAGCCTTATCTTTATTCATTAGCGCGGCTGGCTGGTGGTTTTGGAGTACTGATTTTGCAGTTAGAACCCCAATGTTTAACCCACCGTGCCAGCAGGGCTCCTGTAATACTCTTAAATTACTACATAAGGTGGGTGTAGTACATGCCCTGAAACCAGCCCGTTTCGTTTCCTAGATTGGCAACAGCTGATTTAAATGTGATATTCTCAGGTGCCTGTAGGCCGCCAGGACGAAAAGCAACGTCCCGCCGCACTAGCGCGCATTTAGCAGCGATGCAACGCGCGGCAGCGCCCTCCAGTGGTTGTAGATGGCCACGCTCCTCCGGACTGAGCAACCCGCTCTGGTAGACCGTAGGAACACGGGACCTCTCGCGAGAACAGGACTCCTATTTGAGCACATGCGCGAACTGCACTAGTCTCTTTTCCGGTTGCTGCGGTGTTAGGCGCCATGAGGTTAGTGGCCCATATGTCTTCATCTGCAACCATCCACAAACCAAGCACCCCACTGGGGATGCGGATTCTGTGGGCGGAATCTAGAGGCCTTAACCCGGCTTCTCTGCTGAGCATTTCTTGCGGGGCGTCAACCTGCAGTCTCCTTGCCAGATGCAGCTGCCTTGAGGGTTCCGTTTCCCGGCGCCCAGCATCTGACTGGCTGTCGAGCCTAAATCGCCCGACCTAGTGACTATAACCTCCCCTGAAGCCTGTCCTAGGCTGTCCCCCGGTCTTGAATCCTGGTGACACTAAGGTCGCGGAGATTCTGACCACGCTGAGGGTGTTGAATCTGGGGCCCCGGTCCCTGAGTCCATTTGTCTTCTCTCTCGCAGCAGCAAAGTCTCACGCGACACCCTGTACGAGGCGGTGCGGGAAGTCCTGCACGGGAACCAGCGCAAGCGCCGGAAGTAAGTGCCGGCTCCCTAGGGGAGGCCAAGGCCCGGGCTGGCATGGAAAAACCGAGGCCTACTAACCTTGTGCTTTTCCTAAGGTTTTTGGAGACGGTGGAGCTGCAGATCAGCTTGAAGAACTATGACCCCCAGAAGGATAAGCGCTTCTCGGGCACCGTCAGGTTGGCACCGTTCTGACCCCACCCAGCCCTCAGTGCCCCCATGCCTGGGCTCCCCTTCAGGCTCCTGCTGAGTCCGAGGCCGCAGGCACTGCGGTACTGATGTGCCAGGGTAGCACAGACCCCCTGCTCCGGGCAGGACCCCTACCCTGGGTCTTAAAATATGAGGGGAGGCGTGGGGAGGCCTCGGCCGAACCCGCCGGCTAGTTTGAGAAGACAGACTAGCTGTTGGTGATGTGGACACTCTGGGTAAGGCTCTACGGCTGCGATCCCAGACCCCTTCACCTGCCCTTGTGACCCAGGGCCTGCAGTGACCTATTGTGTTCCCCGAAACACGCAGGCTGAAGTCGACCCCCCGCCCCAAGTTCTCTGTGTGTGTCCTTGGGGACCAGCAGCATTGTGATGAAGCAAAGGCTGTGGAGATCCCTCACATGGACATTGAGGCGCTCAAGAAACTCAACAAAAATAAGAAGCTAGTCAAAAAGCTGGGTGAGTGCAGCTGCTGTGGTTTCTTCTCGGGAGGGGGTAGAATTGGGAGGAAAGGGGTCTGCTGTGACAGGGACAGTTAAGCAGTGGTCATTGGGTTGCTTGACTTTTCTTTGGAGATTATATAACTGAGACCTCAGTGTTGGTTTGATCTAAATAGATGTAATTAGCCAGGTGTCAGTGAGTTCTAAATTCCAAGGCCTTGGGTTTTTTGTTTCTAAAAAGTCTTTACTCGCTGGTGTGGGCATCAGGTTTAGACTCATTTTATAGAGGAAACATGTCTCAAGTTGTCATAGACCCCAAGGTTAAAACTAGCTCGGAACTGTGGAGGCAGAATTTGAACCTACCAGTCAAGACCAGCCTGGGCTTTAAAAGAAACCAGGTTTCCTGTGATTGTTGGGCCATTGCAGAGTCCAGAGGATGAAGCTAGCATGCTGGGGCTGGAGTGTTAAAAAGACTTGGCACTTCGAGAGGAGTGGAGGGGGGTATATTGGGTAGGTCACTTATATTATACAGATGGATGTGGTTTGTTCCTGGTGTTTGGAATGTGGGTTGAACTGACCAGTTCCTGAGCATTCTGTGACTGACTGACTCCCTTTCCCTTTCTTCATTAGCCAAGAAGTATGATGCCTTTTTGGCCTCTGAGTCCTTGATCAAGCAAATCCCGAGGATCCTGGGACCAGGCCTGAATAAGGCTGGCAAATTTCCTTCCCTGCTTACTCACAATGAGAACATGGTGGCTAAAGTCGACGAAGTGAAGTCCACCATCAAGTTTCAGATGAAGAAGGTGCTGTGTCTGGCAGTGGCTGTTGGCCATGTGAAGATGACAGATGATGAGCTCGTTTACAACATCCACTTGGCTGTCAACTTTCTGGTTTCACTGCTAAAGAAGAATTGGCAGAATGTCCGTGCTTTGTACATCAAGAGCACCATGGGTAAACCCCAACGTCTGTACTAAGACACAGCTCAATAAACCTCATTGTTTACTATCAAGTCTGTTTGCAAGTCATTGGGGTCAGGATACAGGTGATTTTGTGAGGCAGTACTGTATGCCAAGTACATCCTGGTGTGTGGCACTGTAGGGCAAGCACTGGACTGCCAACTGTAAACCCACCAGTTGCTCTTCAAATAACCTGTACATGCTCTTAAGATAGCCTGTACAGCAACCATTGCTGGGAGTTGTCTGTAGGAACCTCCAGAAAGGTTGTTGCCTCAAGTCCTGGGAAATCTGTCAAGGATGTTGTGGAGTTGCCTAATCCCAACAATGTTACATTAACATTTAATATATCAGTCATCCATTGGTTGAGTTAGATGTTCAGAAATAGTTTGTGGGAAAATAACACTTTAATTCACTTTTCCCATGAATTTATTGGACTCCCTCCGGGATCTTTGTCCCAGGGGGTCCAACCCCTTGCCTGACTGAGGTACTTCCCTGGAGTTCTTGCCTCCAGTACTGGTATGGTGACTTGGTGTGGGGCAAAGCCTTGTGATTTAACCTTTGACCTAAGTCGGCTTCATTTAACTCCGGTAAACGAAGGCACCTGTTCATACTGTTTTTTGAAGAGCTGAAAGGTTAATCCAAAGCATAAGTAAAATTGCTCCAAAATGCTGCAC